TGCCATTGTATTGCTCACAACAAGTCACTTGAACTCCAAACCCTTCCGGATATTCTAAAAAAAAGCGAGAGTAACCCCTGTCCACAAATGTGGTGATCTCACTGATGTCAACAATTACAGACTTATATCAATTCTGCCAACCTCGTCAAAAATATTTGAAAAACTAATCTACAAGCAGCTTTACTCTTATCTAGCCAAACTCAATATACTTAGCTCTTGTCAATATGTGTTTCAGACCTAATAAAAGCACTAACGATGCACTTATTATTATGATTAACTTGATACGTGCAGCTCTTGATAAAAATGAGTTCCCTGTTGGGTTATTTGTGGACCTGCGTAAGGCTTTTGACACTGTCAACCACCAAAACCTTCTTCTTAAACTACAACATTATGGAGCCAGAGGTCACTCCCTGCAATACCTTCAGTCTAACCTTACTGACAGGCTCCAGTATGTTTCTGTGAATAATTCCATTTCTCCCACCCTACCCATCAACATTGGTGTTCCTCAGGGCAGCATACTTGGCCCTCTCCTCTTTCTCGTCTACATTAATGACCTTCCAAATGCCTCCCAACACCTCAAACCAATCTTATTTGCTGATGACACAACCTTCATTTACTCCAGTCCTGACCCCCTTGCTCTAAATGTCACAGTAAATACTGAACTAAATAAAGTCCATCTTTGGCTAACTGCTAACAAACTCACCCTTAACATTGACAAACATTTCTATATTTTGTTTGGTAATAAATCCTCAAATGAAATTAAGTTGAGAATAAACAATATACAAATCAATAGTTAAGTTGATGGTAAATTCCTTGGTGTCCTCATCGATAACAAGCTGAATTTCCAGAGACACATTCTATATATAGCAAAAAAAAAGTTTCTAAAACTGTTGGCATTCTTTCTAAGATCAAATATTATGTACCTCGCCCTGCCCTGCTGACGCTCTATTACTCTCTCATCTGTCCTTATCTCAACTATGGTATTATGGTATCTCAACTAAGCTTCTATTAGAACAATATCTAACTCTGGCCCCAGACAGCACTCGGTACCCTTACTCAAATCTCTGAATATGTTAGATATTAAGTCACTGCACATCCTCTCATGTGTACTCTATATATTTAAAACTCTAAATTGTAATGTCAATCCTGACCTCAAAAGCTTCTTAGAAGGTTGTAACAGAACCCATGGGCACCACACCAGAAACAAATACCTATTTGATATTCCAAGAGTACGACTTAATCAAACTAGAAATGCTCCCCATCAAATCTAGGGACCCAGAATGTGGAATGACTTTCCCAATCATGTCAAAGGCTGTACCTCTCTCAACCAGTTTAAGATGAAAACTAAGTACTACCTAATTAACTCTATGTAACCCACCTTACCCCTAAATGTCAACCCATGTCTTACTATTTTTAAACAATGCTGTTTGTTGACCAACTTGTATATTAGCTATTTTCTACCATGTTCCTCCCTTTTTTATCTTTGATTTTCTTTCAAAGCAATTTATACTTTACGCTCAATTACTATTAAGTTTTAGTCTAAGTGTTTTTCCCCCCCTCACCTTGCCCGACACGCTGTGCGTACTAGTGGCTTCAGGTGTTGCATGTACTACCTCTACATCCAACATTATGTTTGTAACTAATCCTCCATGTATGTACTTTTACCTGAATAAACATTTGATTTGATTTGATAGAATGGATATAAATTTACTAGAACGCATCCAGCGTAGGATGACGAAGTTAATCCTACAAATCAAAAACCTTTTGTAGCGAGTAGATTATCCCAATAATATACTCGCTCCAAATGCATTGTTAATATTCCTGTCAACCTTTGGAGATGAATGAGGTGAGGCGTTGCCCGGGCAACACGGTGAGGTGTTGCCCGAGCATATAAGCAGCAGAATAGCAAAACATTAACTAATCTACTTTCAAGTGTAGTCTAGAGCAGACACTTGCGAGATACTGTACCGACGCTCAGTGCGCTCAACTCACACCAAAGTATCACCTGTGTACTTCTGTATATTGGACCAAATATATATATAGTATCTTAGTGTCTGTGTTTATTTGTCACCATACTTTACGTAACACTTTCATATGAGGAGAGATTGACCAAACCTAATTTACAATCTCTAGAAAAGCGAAGTTAGGGGGCGACTTTATTGAAGTGTTCAAATGGATGAAGAGTAAGCATAGCAATAAAAACGAACACTCCCTAACTTTTAACACTCCCTAACTGAGATATATTGCTAAGAGGCCCGAATGGAGAATTAAGTGTACCAACTCTTAGCACTGTACCGTGACGTAAGAAACCAGCTGATAATGTTGTGGCTTCTGGAGGCGAGACCCAGGCTTCTGGACCCAGGAGGCCTGGTCGACGACCGGGCCGCGGGGACGCTAAGCCCCCGCGAAGCACCTCAAGGAGACGGCGACCTCCCAACTGCTGCCTCCACACTGCCTAGGCTGCTCTCTCCTCACACTGAAGGTAGCTTGTATTACTCCGCAACACTGGTTATTAATTACCAAGCAGGTTAATGGTAACAAACTAATCTGACTTTACTGGTCAACCCACATGGTTGAATTGCTATTGAAGCTGATGGTAATTCTTTAGGCATTGTGGAAGAGGTTATATCCAATTATAATATTGGCTAGTGACTTGAATTTATACTTTATGAATTAATAATACGGGAGGTTGTAGTCACGCCGGCCGCGTGACCTTGACCCAGCGGTCAAAGGTTACGCCTGGCGAGCTAGGCGTGACCTCCCTCTCTAACTGACGTCGCTAAAAGAACAAATCCACAAGGGCCGTGACGAGGATTCGAACCTGCGTCCGGGAGCATCCCAGACACTGCCTTAATCGACTGAGATACGACAGGGTTAAAAGGGTTGAAACCGAAGTTCTACTGAACTTACTGGATCCCGTAGCGTGTGTGATGATGTAAGGGCGAAGAGGGAGAACGGCCTATTGACATAGCTCGGGTGGAGGGGGGGGGGTTGTGTAAAAACCTGGTTTGTGCCTCGGAGAGGCTACGGGATCCAGTAAGTTCAGTAGAACTTCGGTTTCAACCCTGTCGTAGCTCAGTCGATTAAGGTAGTGTCTGGGATGCTCCCGGACGCAGGTTCGAATCATCGTCACGGCCCTTGTGGATTTGTTCATTTGATGCATCACGTTAGTGTGATCCCTGTGTGTGATGACGTCGCTAACTCTTGTATAAAACTTGTGTGGATCCCATCTCATGTTGGAGTTGGAAAACATGACTTTGTAGATCGATTGGCCAAAGAGGCTTGCAGGAAAGAAAACATTGATTATGACTTTGGACTATCTAATGCAGTTAGAAACATACAAATTAAAGAAATTACTTCAGGTATAGAAGAACTAAGAAATGCCCAGAGACCTGAAAGCTGCAGTATTAAAAGCACTAACCAATTCTCCTATTTACCCAAATTAGCTCCATCAACTGCGGGTGAGCACAGTAACCGGACCAGACAATGTGATGTAGTCATTGTGGTAATTCGCCTTGGCTATAGACACATCTGGCAGGTTAGTGAGGCTGAGCCACTACCAGAATACTCAGATTGTAAACTCTGTGAGAAACCATTAATGCATTCACTAGAACACTATATTGATGAATGTGAAACCGTAAAGGACTTTAGACCTCCTGGCCTCTTGTATCACCAACTGTGTAACTATTTTATTGACTCAGGTGTTCTGGACGACATCCTAACAATTTATCCAACATTTGCTTGTCCATTTTAAAGAATGAAGAACAATTTTATTTATATTACTTCTAAGCTGCATCACTTACGAACCCATCCCTGCCCTTGTGTGGCAGTGCACAATAGAAAGTTTTTTACATATTCATATATTAAAACATTGATTGTAACCATGATATATATGTGCTAGTTTATTGTCTTATGTATGACCCTCTGTCCTGCGTGAGAGTGAATACCAGCATTATCCTCACTTTAATAAAGCTTAATCGAAACCCTCAGATTAGGCAAAATTGTAATTAATTTTGTCAATAAAGATGTTAATAATAATAATAATGTCTCTTTGATAGTAACCGAGCCTTGATCTTCATTCTGCTTTCATGTAAACTTAACGAAAGGCCTTAAACCAGATTGGTTTACATAGACTTACGTAAATTGGTTTACATCGAGGTTATAACTGTAATTACTATATTTATTGAAACATTCATTACTTGTTGAATTAATACCAGAGAGACGCAAAACAAACACAAAGACGGTGACAAACACAAGACAGAACACGAAACAATGGGTATAAATTGGATAAGTGAACATATGAATGGCAGTAACTGCAGAAGGTCCATTGGCCCATACTTCCTCTTGCTGCTTCCATATTGGTTCAGGGTCTTGTAGTAGGTAGAATATACTTGTGCACTACACATCAAAAAGTCAACACCAGCAATCAACAGCCAATTAATGCACAACTATATTCTACCTACTACAAGACCCTGAACCAATATGGAAGCAGCAAGAGGAAGTATGGGCCAATGGACCTTCTGCAGTTACTTCCATTCATATGTTCACTTATCCAATTTATACCCATTGTTTCGTGTTCTGTCTTGTGTTTGTCACCTCACCCAAAACTTTTGTACCATATCACCTCATCCAATAGAGTATAAGTACGAAGAATTTGTGTGTAAATTAAGTCTTTGAAAATGTAATACGAATTACGAAACGCGTTCAGGCGTCAGACAATTAAAAAATGAATTTCGGAGAATAGATATTTTTATTACCATCGACAGTGAAGAAAAACATAAGAAATATTGAGAAGATTCGTGTTAGAATGATTAATCTTACCTTTTCTGTCATATTATGTATGTATATATATATGTGTGTGTATATATATATATATATATATATATATATATATATATATAGAGAGAGAGAGAGAGAGAGAGAGAGAGAGAGAGAGAGAGAGAGAGAGAGAGAGAGAGAGAGAGACGTATAGTAGTGAGAGGGAGGAGGCGGGTACTCACATGGGGCTCCTCTTGCCGGCGGCCAATTAGTGCCTGCAGAAGAAACAAAGGTCGTATTAATCTTCACTCCAAAATGATAACATTTCAATTCACGAAAACCTGAAACCAAAAATTGTTTTGTAAACTTCATGTTGTTCTAGGCTAAAATATTTCTCAAGGTTTTGAGTGGTCAAATATATCAAGGGATTGAGCTTCAGCTCTTGGGTCGTGCTTCTCACCCTCATATTTAACGCGGGTGAAGTGCTCACACTATTGGGACTGTGTTATATCTACATTTGAAAGTGTGTAAGTATTTTGTTCTTGCCGCTACACTACCTTCTTCTTCTTAACAACATTACATGTCACTGAGTCAGATACTTAGATTCTCATTGTACTCACCCACCTAGTTGTGCTTGCGTGGGTTGAGCTTCTGCTCTTTGGTTCCGCCTCTCAACTGTCAACCAACTGAGGTATAGGTTCCTGACCCAATTGGGCTCTGTCATATCTAGATATCAAACTGTGTCTGGAGTCAGCCACATCACTGCCTAATGCGTTCCATTTCTTAACTACTCTGACACTGAAAACGTTCTTTCTAACGTGCCTGTGGCTCATGTGGGTACTCAGTTTCCACCTGTGTCCCCTCTTTACCTACCTTACAAATTACTCTGAGAATTTTGCATGTGGTGATCTCCCCTAATTCTTCTGTCTTCCAGCGACGTGGGGTTTACTCTCCGTAGTCTCTCCTTATAGCTCAAGTCCTATGTCGATAACCTGTCCTTCTCTAACCTCAGATCTTTTATGTAGAGACCCTTTCTCTGCAGATTTTTCTCTATTCCAGTAACGTGAGGTTTGGTTTCCAAAGTCTTCCCTTGCAACTAGTGCCTCTCAGTTCTGGCACTCGTCTGGTGGCACACCTCTCAGTTCTGGCACTAGTCTGGTGGCACACCTCTCAGTTCTGGCACTAGTCTGGTGGCATACCTCTCAGTTCTGGCACTCGTTTGGTGGCACACCTCTCAGTTCTGGCACTAGTCTGGTGGCACACCTCTCAGTTCTGGCACTAGTCTGGTGGCACACCTCTCAGTTCTGGCACTAGTCTGGTGGCACACCTCTCAGTTCTGGCACTCGTCTGGTGGCACACCTCTCAGTTCTGACACTAGTCTGGTGGCATACCTCTCAGTTCTGGCACTAGTCTGGTGGCATACCTTTCAGTTCTGACACTAGTCTGGTGGCACACCTCTCAGTTCTGACACTAGTCTGGTGGCACACCTCTCAGTTCTGGCACTAGTCTGGTGGCATACCTCTCAGTTCTGGCACTCGTCTGGTGGCACACCTCTCAGTTCTGACACTAGTCTGGTGGCACACCTCTCAGTTCTGACACTAGTCTGGTGGCACACCTCTCAGTTCTGACACTAGTCTGGTGGCATACCTCTCAGTTCTGGCACTCGTCTGGTGGCACACCTCTCAGTTCTGGCACTAGTCTGGTGGCACACCTCTCAGTTCTGGCACTCGTCTGGTGGCACACCTCTCAGTTCTGACACTAGTCTGGTGGCATACCTCTCAGTTCTGACACTAGTCTGGTGGCACACCTCTCAGTTCTGACACTAGTCTGGTGGCATACCTCTCAGTTCTGGCACTCGTCTGGTGGCACACCTCTCAGTTCTGGCACTAGTCTGGTGGCACACCTCTCAGTTCTGGCACTAGTCTGGTGGCACACCTCTCAGTTCTGGCACTCGTCTGGTGGCACACCTCTCAGTTCTGGCACTAGTCTGGTGGCACACCTCTCAGTTCTGGCACTCGTCTGGTGGCACACCTCTCAGTTCTGACACTAGTCTGGTGGCATACCTCTCAGTTCTGGCACTAGTCTGGTGGCTTACCTCTCAGTTCTGACACTAGTCTGGTGGCACACCTCTCAGTTCTGACACTAGTCTGGTGGCACACCTCTCAGTTCTGACACTAGTCTGGTGGCATACCTCTCAGTTCTGGCACTCGTCTGGTGGCACACCTCTCAGTTCTGGCACTAGTCTGGTGGCACACCTCTCAGTTCTGGCACTAGTCTGGTGGCACACCTCTCAGTTCTGGCACTAGTCTGGTGGCACACCTCTCAGTTCTGGCACTCGTCTGGTGGCACACCTCTCAGTTCTGGCACTAGTCTGGTGGCACACCTCTCAGTTCTGGCACTAGTCTGGTGGCATACCTTTCAGTTCTGACACTAGTCTGGTGGCACACCTCTCAGTTCTGACACTAGTCTGGTGGCACACCTCTCAGTTCTGACACTAGTCTGGTGGCATACCTCTCAGTTCTGGCACTCGTCTGGTGGCACACCTCTCAGTTCTGGCACTAGTCTGGTGGCACACCTCTCAGTTCTGGCACTAGTCTGGTGGCACACCTCTCAGTTCTGGCACTCGTCTGGTGGCACACCTCTCAGTTCTGGCACTAGTCTGGTGGCACACCTCTCAGTTCTGGCACTCGTCTGGTGGCACACCTCTCAGTTCTGACACTAGTCTGGTGGCATACCTCTCAGTTCTGGCACTAGTCTGGTGGCATACCTCTCAGTTCTGACACTAGTCTGGTGGCACACCTCTCAGTTCTGACACTAGTCTGGTGGCACACCTCTCAGTTCTGACACTAGTCTGGTGGCATACCTCTCAGTTCTGGCACTCGTCTGGTGGCACACCTCTCAGTTCTGGCACTAGTCTGGTGGCACACCTCTCAGTTCTGGCACTCGTCTGGTGGCACACCTCTCAGTTCTGGCACTAGTCTGGTGGCACACCTCTCAGTTCTGACACTAGTCTGGTGGCATACCTCTCAGTTCTGGCACTAGTCTGGTGGCTTACCTCTCAGTTCTGACACTAGTCTGGTGGCACACCTCTCAGTTCTGACACTAGTCTGGTGGCACACCTCTCAGTTCTGACACTAGTCTGGTGGCATACCTCTCAGTTCTGGCACTCGTCTGGTGGCACACCTCTCAGTTCTGGCACTAGTCTGGTGGCACACCTCTCAGTTCTGGCACTAGTCTGATGGCACACCTCTCAGTTCTGGCACTAGTCTGGTGGCACACCTCTCAGTTCTGGCACTCGTCTGGTGGCACACCTCTCAGTTCTGGCACTAGTCTGGTGGCACACCTCTCAGTTCTGGCACTAGTCTGGTGGCATACCTTTCAGTTCTGACACTAGTCTGGTGGCACACCTCTCAGTTCTGACACTAGTCTGGTGGCACACCTCTCAGTTCTGACACTAGTCTGGTGGCATACCTCTCAGTTCTGGCACTCGTCTGGTGGCACACCTCTCAGTTCTGACACTAGTCTGGTGGCATACCTCTCAGTTCTGGCACTAGTCTGGTGGCATACCTCTCAGTTCTGACACTAGTCTGGTGGCACACCTCTCAGTTCTGACACTAGTCTGGTGGCACACCTCTCAGTTCTGACACTAGTCTGGTGGCATACCTCTCAGTTCTGGCACTCGTCTGGTGGCACACCTCTCAGTTCTGGCACTAGTCTGGTGGCACACCTCTCAGTTCTGGCACTCGTCTGGTGGCACACCTCTCAGTTCTGGCACTAGTCTGGTGGCACACCTCTCAGTTCTGGCACTCGTCTGGTGGCACACCTCTCAGTTCTGACACTAGTCTGGTGGCATACCTCTCAGTTCTGGCACTAGTCTGGTGGCTTACCTCTCAGTTCTGACACTAGTCTGGTGGCACACCTCTCAGTTCTGACACTAGTCTGGTGGCACACCTCTCAGTTCTGACACTAGTCTGGTGGCATACCTCTCAGTTCTGGCACTCGTCTAGTGGCACACCTCTCAGTTCTGGCACTAGTCTGGTGGCACACCTCTCAGTTCTGGCACTAGTCTGGTGGCACACCTCTCAGTTCTGGCACTAGTCTGGTGGCACACCTCTCAGTTCTGGCACTCGTCTGGTGGCACACCTCTCAGTTCTGGCACTAGTCTGGTGGCACACCTCTCAGTTCTGGCACTAGTCTGGTGGCATACCTTTCAGTTCTGACACTAGTCTGGTGGCACACCTCTCAGTTCTGACACTAGTCTGGTGGCACACCTCTCAGTTCTGACACTAGTCTGGTGGCATACCTCTCAGTTCTGGCACTCGTCTGGTGGCACACCTCTCAGTTCTGGCACTAGTCTGGTGGCACACCTCTCAGTTCTGGCACTAGTCTGGTGGCACACCTCTCAGTTCTGGCACTCGTCTGGTGGCACACCTCTCAGTTCTGACACTAGTCTGGTGGCACACCTCTCAGTTCTGGCACTCGTCTGGTGGCACACCTCTCAGTTCTGACACTAGTCTGGTGGCATACCTCTCAGTTCTGGCACTAGTCTGGTGGCATACCTCTCAGTTCTGACACTAGTCTGGTGGCACACCTCTCAGTTCTGACACTAGTCTGGTGGCACACCTCTCAGTTCTGACACTAGTCTGGTGGCATACCTCTCAGTTCTGGCACTCGTCTGGTGGCACACCTCTCAGTTCTGGCACTAGTCTGGTGGCACACCTCTCAGTTCTGGCACTCGTCTGGTGGCACACCTCTCAGTTCTGGCACTAGTCTGGTGGCACACCTCTCAGTTCTGACACTAGTCTGGTGGCATACCTCTCAGTTCTGGCACTAGTCTGGTGGCTTACCTCTCAGTTCTGACACTAGTCTGGTGGCACACCTCTCAGTTCTGACACTAGTCTGGTGGCACACCTCTCAGTTCTGACACTAGTCTGGTGGCATACCTCTCAGTTCTGGCACTCGTCTGGTGGCACACCTCTCAGTTCTGGCACTAGTCTGGTGGCACACCTCTCAGTTCTGGCACTAGTCTGGTGGCACACCTCTCAGTTCTGGCACTAGTCTGGTGGCACACCTCTCAGTTCTGGCACTCGTCTGGTGGCACACCTCTCAGTTCTGGCACTAGTCTGGTGGCACACCTCTCAGTTCTGGCACTAGTCTGGTGGCATACCTTTCAGTTCTGACACTAGTCTGGTGGCACACCTCTCAGTTCTGACACTAGTCTGGTGGCACACCTCTCAGTTCTGACACTAGTCTGGTGGCATACCTCTCAGTTCTG